TTTAGAGCAGTTCTTTACCTGGGGAGTCCATCAACTTGGATGGAAATAAAATTACTTCCTTATTTTCACTAAGGTAAAATTTAGTACTTCCTTCAATTATGAATGTAGGCATCAACCCACAGCAGAAGGAATCTTTAGTGTCACCTGTAGAACTCACAGAGATTTATATTTTCAAATCACATTATGGCTATTGTAGACATCTTGAAACATCACTTACATTCAACATTACTTTGAAATTAAAGGAGTTTTGGACTTGCTGCTAGATCTTGTTATTTGATGAATTATTAAAGTACCACATATATTAAAAATACTTTGGTAACTGTATTTCAATAAAATTGCTATCCTTTATGATCCATCATATTTATTTCATGCATTTAAAAACATTCTTCTAGGAAGGGGACCATGAGGCCAAAGAAATCCAGGACATAAAGAATTCTTAAGGGGCGGGGCATGGCGGCTCACGCCTAGAATCCTAGCAGTTTGGGAGGCTGAGGCAGGAGGATTGCTTGATCCCAAGAATTCAAGGTTGCAGTGAGCTATGGTGAGGCCACTACACTCCAGCCAGGGTGACAGAGTGAGACCCTGTTTCAAAAAAATAAATCAACAAATTTTTTTTAAAGGAGTGCTTAAGGAGCCCTGCTTTAGGGACAACTGTTTCTGAAGATGATGTCCTGCCCACCTCACCTCCCAGACCAGTGTTTCCCAAACCCAGGCAAAAAGAATCATTTGAGGGACTTATTATTCTGAGCAAGGCCTGAGAATCATTTTGTTTAACAAGAGCCTCCGGTGATTTGGGAAATGCTGCTTTATAATCAGTAAATTTGGGAAATGCTGCCCTAGGCTGTGTCTATTGAAAATCAATAGCTAACTTCAGTACCTGAAGACATGGCTAGCTTACTCCCACCTTCTGTATTGCCAAAGGGAGTTAGTTATATTCATTAGCAAGTGAGAGTAACACCACCTGGCTGCTGTATAATTCTGAAGTGAGTTATTCATTAGAATGTAGGAGAAAGAATCATGTCTCTAAAAAGCCTTAAATCAATCAGATTTCTTTTTTTACTTTCTTCTGCCTTAATTTCAAAAAATCAGTTTGCCTTTCATGATATCCCAACACTTGGTACCTATCTCAATGTTAGCACTTATCACGTTACATCATAACTATTTTTTCAGTATCTATTTCCTAAGCCCTCAATTCACCCACACCATTCGCACATTACTCCCCCTAACAGGAACATACTATATTCTGAGGCCCTCAGGACAAAAACAAGTTTAATTCATTTCAATACACCCACCCATGCAAAGTACCAGGCACATAATGAGCCCTCAATAAATAGTGGATATATGGGTAGATGGATGGACAAATGCCAACTCTTCTCCCTCCTGTGACATTAGAATGCAGTTCAATTCTGCACTTCTCAGAAGTGGCATTCCAAGGTGCTGACCTTTGAGAGGTAGAATGGAGTCATGGTTAATATGAATGGCATTGAAATTCCGGCTCCTTTTACAAGCTATGTGTCCTTAGGCAAATTACTCAAACTCTCCAGGTCTCCATTTCTTTATCTATAAATTAGAAATCATATTTACCTCCTTGGGTTACTATGAGATAATGCGGGAGAGTTACTAGCATGTTCTTGGCACTTGGATACTCTTTATTGATCCCTTACTATTATTTACTTGGTGTGGAGGACTCTAGTAAAGAAATATATTTTTTTCCAATACAAGTCCCACCAATTAGAGACTCATTTTAATGAGTAAGTGCCAGGGAAGGCTAAGTGATGGCACCTCAGTGGCAAATGCTTTAATCAGCTAATCAGATTGTTTTCTTCTTGACACTTAACTGAGATCAAGGAGAGAATGGAAATTTTGATGGCAGAATTGGGAGACAGGAAAAGAGGACAGCCAGAATGGGGTGGCACTCCAAGGGGGCCTGGAAGCCAGGGGACAGCTTGAGGGCTTTGGCCTTTAGGGACTCAGCAAGAGGGATATTAAAGAAACCTGCCCACAAAGGCAGTAGCCACCATTGTCTTTTGAACTGTTTTTTGTCATCCTGAGACAGAAGCAATCAGAAGGGATGTCTCATTCCCTGGGAAGGAGTTGATACAGTCTGTCACACAGAACTCCTTGAGGGGCACCTGGCTTTCTCCTTTCCTCTGTCTACTCACTTCCATCCATTTTCCAACAACCACCCCTCCTTGCTTGCCACTTCCCTGCAACAGGGTGCAGAACAACCTACATTCCAGGGCCCTGTCTGCCTCTACTAGCCCTGTGCCCTTTGACAAGGTGCTTAATCTCTCCAAGCTTTAGGTTCCTTCTCTGTGATGAGACAGTAATAGCTCTCTGTCATAGGATTATAATCAGAATAGAGGCCATGCATGTAAAGTGCTTTGTAGAACACCGGGCATTTAGTAAGCATTCAATAAATGTTGGCTATTATTGAGAAAGATTATGTCGGAGACCATTTATTCTTTCCAGAACATATTTTCATGCTAGGCCCTGGGGATCCCCTGGGAGCTGCGGATGCAGCAGCAAACAGGTAAATGTCCCTCCTCCTATAGTGTTGGTTAAGTAACAGTCATTTAATCTCCATCAAATAAGTATATAATTTGTCCTCAAAAAGCTTTAAGAGCACATACAGTAAAATACAATTCAGTTTTCAAAATCTGAAGTTTCAAAACTATAGAAATTCCTGGAATGGGTCATGTGGGTCGGTGCTGCATATAAATTCTTTTTTTTTATTTCAGAATATTAAGGGGGTACAAATGTTTAGGTTACATGTATTGCCTTTGCCCCACCCTATAAATTCTTAATAAATGTTAGTTCATATTAACAATATTAGGATCTCATGATGATCTCTAACTATGAATATTTTATTTTAAAATGCCTTGCTTCTCCAGTTATTTTAAGTTGTTCAACGATAGGCCTTGTAATGCATTTGGTAAAACCTCTTAATACATACGACATACCTTCCTTCTATGAGCTAAGTATTAGGAGATTCACAAGTACTTGCTTTGTGAATGTATGAATGAATACCCAGCAAGCACTGAAGTTTGTCCTAACTATTCTCTCTCACCTACACTAGCCCCCGACACACATACACAAACAGGCTCTCACAATTATGCAAAAAAGGGGTTTTCCCTAATTTTAAACATAAATTTCATAGCACACACAATGCTGAGATAAAATTTAGAATGCAAAAGTCAGCTTTTGTAAGAAGCTTTTATAGCACACAACTATCCTATGTAATAAGTAAAACTATGTTTTATTCTCCTGGCTGCCTTAAATCATTGTGTTACTATGACTTTTTAGATCAGAATTCTTACATCTCCCTTTTGAAAAGTTTTTCATGCTCAGAGTTCCTATATATTCATATTAGGCCTTTGTTTATATAGAGCCAAATGTTCTAAGTTGAAGAGAGAAAATAAATCCACAACCAAATAAACAAAAATGATGGCTTTATCACTAGTTTTAACTTTTCACTGTTTCTTTTAAACAACAAAAAAAGTTTTTGGTCAGTTTCTCAAAATAGAGTCTGGAGATGACCAAACACGGGGGATAAAAGAGGATGTAGGAAAAGAAATAAATCCAAGGGAAAGAAGTTATTAGGGAAGAGGAAGAATAGATAGTCTCTTAGAACCTTGCTTTATTGAGAAAACAGGAATGAACAGAAAGTTACCTGGGCAGAGGAGAAGAATTCTTGGATGAGAAAGCTCAGAGGAACGGCACCATCTTTATACATGATCATTTGGTCACTATCTGTTTTTTTTCTTGATAAGCTACTTCAGTGGCTACTGTACCTATTTTTTTCACTCTTTCTTCCCCTTAAATAGGCATTGGCCCTGCTTAGGAGGAATATCATGAACACTCAGCTACAGTCAGGGGCCCAAACCTTCTCAGGTTTCTCCTTGAGAACCACCGTCCCCAAGAATGGCAGCCCCCCAGGCAGGAAGCTGGCAAAAGCACAAAAGCCTTGAGGCCCATGAGTGGCCGTTTGCAGACATTCTGTAAGTGACAATCTCCCTGACACATCTTCTTGGTTCATTTAGGTTATATGAAAGTTTTAAAAATAAAATAGAAATGTACTAGAATACAAATTACATAAATTCTGGACCTTTTATAAGCATTACTCAGAGGAGGTTATAGAGATTATGTATGTGTGTAGATGCATGAGGTTGAAACCATCCTCACTAATTCTGTGAGTGGTAGAGAGAACCTGTGCTCCTTTCCAATCCCCTGGACTCAGCCTTTTCCCCTCCTGTTGGTGATTGGGACATTAGTGGTGGGGTGGGAGGTGTTTAAGGCAGTCATCTTGGCACAGACTTATTTTACATAGGTTCTTATAGATGTTGTTTCAGAATGTTTGCAAGCTTTAAAACCTGAAGCTGTATATATTTTTACTTTGGAGGTACATTTTACGAAAAATGTGTTCTAAGTTTATTTCCTGAGTACATGGTGAGCTCTCTACTGGGTGGAGGGCTTCAGAGAGGCAGTTTTGTCACAATACACATCAGGCAGTCACCCAAGTTCTTTTGCTGCCAGCTGTGCATCTCTGAGCATAACACTTAACCATAAGGAGCATCATTGCCTCCTGAGTCGGAACTAGATCAGCAATTCTCAAACTATAGTGTGTCTGGGGTGTTTGAAAATGAAGATTCATGGGCCACAGATCCAGAGACTCTTAGTTGGTCTAAGAAGGATTCAGAAATCTACATTTTTAATAAGCACTCCCCTGTGGACCACACTTTGAGAAACACTGGACTAATTGATTTGGAAGATCCTTTCCGGCACTAACATTCTGTGAATTGGTCCTTTCTTTAGCAACCACTCTCGGACAGCCTGGCACGCCCTCGATGTCTGTCCCCCTGTGGTAATGATGGTACCAACCACAGGGAGTAGACAGGGGTCAACATCCATACTGGGTGAAACTGAGAAGACAGGAGAGTTGATTGCGTGATTGTTCTTTCTCTGAGGGAAACGCTAACATCCTTGTCTCTGATGCCCAGGTGACAGGTGGAGTCTGGAATTTCAGCCGCATTTGCTGCGATGTTTTTGTCACCCTGGATGTCATGATGTGTACGGCCAGCATCCTGAACCTCTGTGCCATCAGCATAGACAGGTAGAGCTGGGATTCCCCTTCCAGGATTGGAAGAGAGGTGGCCCAAAAGCCAGGTGGGGGAGGCATAAGCTTTGCATTTGAGGACACTGGGGTCACTTCCAAGCAGACCTTGACATTGTGACATTTTCTTTCCTCTCTTTTTCTCTTAAATTATGGCATGCAGGTGAGAAGAAACCCCTGCGACAGGAGAGAAATAGTTGTAAGTTTTTTTCGCCTTTCTTCTCCTCCAGCCCCCTGGAGGGGATTCTGGTTTTGCTTTTCCACCATCCTTTGGGGCTTTTGTGATTCCTAATAGGAAGGAAAGGAGGAGAAGGACAAAAGGGGAGCTGATTTGGGTTGGTAGGAAATTCTGTTGTTTTCTTTGTTTTTGTTGAAAGGAGGGAGGGAAGGAAGGTGGCAGAGGGAGAGAGGAAAAGAGGGAGGTAAGCAGGAGTGCATTTTGGGGGAAGGAAAGAGAAAAGTGGGGGAGAGAGGCAGTATTAGAAAGCATGGCTGTGATCTATATAGTTCCCTCATAGAATTTAAGAAAAGCGAGTAAAAAATGATAGGTTTTTTTTTTAACTGCTTTTTGTTTGCCAGAATTTCTGGATTTCTGTGATTTTGACGCCACTTTGTGTGTGTTCCTCTGTGAGTAACGTCACTTTCTATCCCTACGGGTACCTGAATTCACTGCCCTTGCTCTGGGTGCCTCTGCTCTTTCCCCTCACCCTGCATGGGCCTTGCATTCCCACGGCTCCCACAGGACACCACCAGGCCGACTGAGAGCCCTGGGGAAAGGAGGCTGCTTCCAAGCCTGTGGCCTCTGGCACGCTTAAGAGCCTCCAACCTTCCTTCTCTGAGTCCTGTCCCTCCTCTCTCACCTTCCACCCCTTTTCTTTCTCCCAATAATATCATCCATTCACTCCATAGTTCCAATAGGTGACCCCAAATAAGATCTGCCATTTATTGAGAATTGACGACATTGTGCTGAGCTTTGACAGGCGTTAACTCATTTCATCTTCACAACTATTCTTGGGTACTATTATCATCTACTATTATTATCACATTTACAGCTTCTTAGGGTAATTAAGGAATTTTCCAAAGTCACGCAGCTAATATGGGGTCATGCCAGGATTTGAATCCATGTCTATTTGACTCCAAGTCAATGATCTTAAGCTTTGTACTAACTTCCCCAAATCTCCCACTACACCTCTGCCTTCTCCCCAGATCACATTACTGCCTGAGTTTCCCATTGGCTCCTATAATGCAAAATGCTAAAAACCAGGCCATTAAAGCACCAAATCATCTTGACTTGATGGCCTCTTAGTGACACCATCTTTCTCCTGGAATCTCGACTTTTGTTGGACTCCTCTCTCTTCCTAATCTCTCACACCCAAGCAGCCAATGTTTATAGACTCTATTTTTGCAATTTCTTCAAATTTGCCCCCACTTTTCCTTTCTTGCTGCCCCCTACTTAGTTTAGGCTCCTGTGACTTCTCACCTGAAATTCTGCCCCTGCCTTCTCACTGGTCCTTCATACCACTATCGGGGGGAATTATTCCCCTAGAAGTAAAGCCCTAATATCCACTACCCTCTGCCAAACCCTTCAGTGTCTCCTTAGCCTATGGAATAAAAGTTAGAATTACCTCCACAACCTAGTATTCCAAGTTTTCCACAATGTGGTCTCAACCTACCTTTTCAATCTCATCCCTTTCTGGGTTGCCTTATATTCTTCTTATGCTCCAAGGTCTATCACAATGGACCACTTTTCCACAACGCCCTTCCAAATTCCTACAATTTGATTCAGTTGCCCCTGAACCCTCAAAACACTTTCTTTGCAACTATGTTGTGGCATCTGCAGCTTTTTCTAGAGGTCCTATCGCACGTCCTCTTCACGCAGCCCAGCATGGCGTTCTCTAGAGCGACAGCCCTAAACTGCCTCTCATACTGAAATGAGAATTTTGAACCAAAAGAACCAAAGAATGAACATGAAAACCCTTTCCTGTGGTGATCTGCAAACCATCCAGCCAACTAAATGGTTTTTTATTTCTATCACTTGGTTGGCTGTCCAACTGAGAGGAAAATTAAAGAACATATCCATAATTCTGCAAATAGTACCAGTAAAGAGTATGTTTAAAAATAGAGGGATATGGTTGCATAATTCTGTAAATATACCAAAAAAACATTGAATTGTACACTTTAAATGGGTGGACTGTGTGGTGTGTGAATTATATTTCAATAAAGCTGTTAAAAAGTGAGAAGATAGGGATTTTATAATATTTTTTCTCTGACATCTAAGTCTTTTGTGTAATTTCTGGACATTTAGTACATGTTTTCAGGACTATGTTATTTTTTTGTTGTTTTGGTTTTTTTTTGAGACAGAGCCTCACTCTGTTGCCCGGACTAGAGTGCCGTGGCATCAGCCTTGCTCACAGCAACCTCAAACTCCTGGGCTCAGGCAATCCTCCTGCCTCAGCCTCCCAAGTAGCTGAGACTACAGGCATGTGCCATCACGCCTGGCTAGTTTTTTCTATTTTTAGTAGAGATGGGGTCTTGCTCTTGCTCAGGTTGGTCTCAAACTCCCGAGCTCAAACTGTATTCCACCTCAGCCTCCCAGAGTGCTAGGATTACAGGACTGAGCCACCGTGCCCGGCCTCAGAACTATGTTATTTGCAGAAGTACTGGACTGCAGGCAGCCGGTTCGCTTTATCATTGCCGCCACCACCCGAAACTCTCGCACTAGACCCAGCTCCTTAGCACCTGTGAATCTCCCTGCTGTGCCTATTACAGAGCCTTGAGCAAAGAGCATGAAACTGAATTGGGTTCCCTGCCCAAGGGTAGCCCATGTTCATACCACAAATAGGCACTTTCAGAAAGGGCTGAGAGAATAGGTTAGCCGTGGGAGAAGGGGGAAGAGCAGTATAAAAAGAGCGTCTTAGGGGAGGGCCTGGGACAGCTGCCTTCCAGCCCTTCTAATTCCTGACCCTCTCTCTACCCTTTCAAGAACGTGCCTATACACTCCACCCACACACATTCGCACACGTGGGGATTTGGGCAAGGTTGTGCAGGTTGTTCCCTGAACACCGGTGTAGGAAAGAAATTCAGCCAGCGCTTCCTTTGCCAAGCTTTGAGTCGGCCAAAACAGGGTGCCTTTTTGCAATTCGCCAGCCAGGAGAGGGCGCCTTTCTCTAACTTACACAAGAGCATCCTTTTGTCGACAGCAGCCATGCTTGACATCCATTTCAGTGTTCACCACATAAAACACAACCAGCAAGAATAAATCTTGCATTGGCTTTGTCCTGTATAGGAAAACTCCAAGAATGCACGGCACTCACCTACCTGAAACCTGAAGGGACTAGCCAAGCCTTAGATCCCAATGGAGAAAGAGGCTCCCTTCTTGGCTTGTATTTCTATATGGCCCAATCAGCCCTCACCAATCCTCAAAATGGAACCTCCTCCTATTCTAGAAATGAAAATAGGCCTTGGAAAAGCTGTCTCCATTATCCTTCACAGCAGTTTGCCATACACAGCATTAAATTCTGTTCATCTGATGACAAATAGCTGGTCGATTCATTAAAAATGCAGTCATTCACGCAGGCTTTTGGTCTTTGCACAATGCCAGTCACCAGTCTGACAAACTTAACCAAATGGATTCAGTATTTTTTGGTCATGAAGCCCTGATCTGTAATAACAGGGTGGAAAGAGAGAGGAAAGAAAAGGAAATGATAAAAGGGTTTTTGAAAGCAAGTAACACTATTGTCATTAGATTTTTAGGCATAGCTCTGGGATGCTTGGATTAATGCTGCCTTTTCTTTTTAAAAAATCAGAGTGAGAAGTGTTCTGAGCACAATCCCCTACCCCCTTGGCTCCTTGCCTCCCCAGGGGGCCAGCCCCCTCCCACAACATCTTGCATCGGGGTCAGAACTAACTCAGGGAGAGGGTTGAGAATGTGTCAGAAGAGGAGGACAAGACCAAGTGTTGAGAATTAGAGTCCTCTGAGAGGAGCCCGGGAATAATGCCGCCAAATTCATTCACCAGGGAGTTCTTTAAGTGGCTCTCAAATGGCACCCATCACACAGGCAAGCCTCTGCCTCTGTGCAGCGAGCACAATAGGTACCAGATGAGTCACAGGCACCTTGGATTTTTAGTTTGCATCTAAATAAGCACTTTATATTTGCAAAGGGCTTTCCAGTCATTTGCAAAAAGCTTTCTCCTTCAGCAACTCCACGAGGGGAGTCCACAGAACTAAAGATTTATTGAGCTCCCTGTCTGACCAAATAAAAGGTGGTGAAAAGCAGCCCTCACAGAGCTCTGGGGCTCATTAAACCCAGGCAGGGAGTAGAGTCAGTCCCTCCCGCCCAGGCGGGCCTCTTTCCTCCCCACTACCGGCTTCCCAAAGAGGCACCCTCATCAGTTCCCACACGCACACGTCTCCCTGCCTGGGACAGAGCTCCCAGGTTGAATTCTGCAGGGAACTGAGACCTTAGGTAGAGTGAACAGCCACACAGGCCCCGCACAGACTTGGGAGTCAGAAGCAGCGTCATAGGCATCACAGTTAACCTACTTGAGCAGAATGTTAAATGCGTGCATAGGGTCCTGCAGCCTCTTCGTACAGGTTTGGAACTGAGGTTAGAAACTGAGTCTCCAGACTCCCCCCGCGTACTCTGTCTATTACGATATGAGGCTCTGTCATTGGTGGAGGTGGGGATGGGCACTTCTGTACTTGCAATTCCCTTGGACTAAATGAGGCACATTTCCTATGTCTTCAATGCCCTGGCTACCTCTGTGCTAATCGTAACGTACATGCATCTAGAAGCAACAACAACAATAAAAATAGCTACCATTTATTTAGCATGTTCTATGTGCCAGGCACTAAGAGCTTGTCATTCATTATTGCTAACCCTCACAACAACACAGCGAGATGGGTATATTATCCCCACATTACAAATAAAGATTCTGAGGCTAGAACGTGTAGGTAAGCTTGCCAAGATCACACAGCTAGCGCAAGAGTAAGAATTCTG